ACAGTTTGATCAATAAAACTTTATTTATAAAACAGTTTGATCAATGAAACTTTATTTATAAAACAGTTTGATCAATGAAACTTTATTTATATAACAGTTCTGCAGGTTTTAGAATTTAATAATTTTAGTTTAAAACTGCGGGAAGAAATTTGCTCCTCTTCAGGTTCTGCGGGATCTTCTTGTGGAACTTCCTGTTTTCAGGTAGGACCCGCCCCACACACTCACCTGACTGTCACCTGACTGAGTGCTGAGTCATCAGTCTGAAGCAGAGTGTTGGAACTCGTGGCTCAGTTTAACTAAAACAAGAACTCACCTGAATTATTTCAGTTTTTAATCATTTAAAATTGTTTCAAACAGCTCAGTGAAACAAAGGTTCAAAGCCTGTTTTAGTTTTTTAACATTAAGTCTTAAACTAACCGTAACCAGATCACTAATAAAACTTAAAGCAGCTGAAGTCATGTGACTCTGGAGGCTCGGCTGGTTTTCCTGGAAGAAAAGATAAAGTTTTTCTTCACAGTGAACAGATCAGTCTGTTTTCTCTCATGTTCGTGTGTTTGTAGATATTTGACCATGTTCTGTGACTTAAACACTGATAAAACTTAAACTGATGGAGTTAAAAAGTGCTGAGTCATGCTGCAGGAGTTAAGCTTCCTTCTGTCAGCAGCTGTTTTTCTGAATTCCTGTAAAAGATGATGTTTTAGGAGCTTTGAGCAACAGCTGAGGCACGCTGCTGCTGTCAGCAGGAAACTCAACATGTGACAACATGAGGTTCATCCTGTCACATGATCAGCTGCAGCAGACCTGAGCAGGCTGAGGGTCCATCTGACCTGATCTTCAGCTGACATGAAGGAAACTGACCTGATCTTCAGCTGACATGAACAAACCTGACCTGATCTTCAGCTGACATGAAGGAAACTGACCTGATCTTCAGCTGACATGAACGAAACTGACCTGATCTTCAGCTGACATGAACTGACCTGATCTTCAGCTGACATGAACTGACCTGATCTTCAGCTGACATGAACTGACCTGATCTTCAGCTGACATGAAGGAAACTGACCTGATCTTCAGCTGACATGAAGAAAACTGACCTGATCTT